ACTTCCTGACGAAGGCGCTGCACTGCCCGGCCTTCAACCGGTGCTCCGTTGCAATCGGCCAAGTGTGTCTGGCCGATGTGGGCGACGGTGACAACGACGTGCAGCAGTAGGTGCCGTGCCCTTTTGCATGGCTGGTGCGGTGACCGGCGTGCTGTGCGTTGTGTGCACGCCGACGGGCTATTCTCCAAGAAGTATTGCCGTGTGGGCCGAGGGGGAGGGGCCCAAGCGTGAACGCGGCAGGGGAGTGTCAACGGGAGTTGTGTTTGGCCCCGTCCTCGCTTGGGCGGAGCCGACCGTGGGAGCCACGAAATTGCAGTGGCCCGTGGGAGCCACGAAATCGTGGGGGACCGCGGAGCCACGAAATCGTGGGGGACCGCGGAGCCACGAAATCACGGGGGATCGTGGATCCACGAAACCGCGGGAGGACCACGATCGTGGATCGGCGGTGGCGACGGTGTTGACCGAGAAACCGCGGGAGGACCGCGAAGTACCCGGTCAACCAGGATACCCGGGCGACGTACGCGAAAGTCGCCGGGGATGTTATCTACGATGGCGATCTCGGGGGTGGTATCCCGAGGTCGACGTGGCTGGTGGGCGCCGTCACGGGCGGAGTGTCTGCGCTGGGCATGTTACGGGGAGTTGGGCACCAACCAGCTGCACGCACCTGCGAAGCTGGTGCACCGTTGTCCCGCGGATGCGACGCTGTGCAGCCGACATACTGCAGCGTTGGCGCACCGCGGACTTGCAACGTTGGCAAGCCGCGACTCTGCTCTGCTGGAGCGCGGTCGACCGAGTTGTGCTGGCACGCGGTCGACCGTGCTGCGCTGGCAGTGGACCAGCAAGCCTTGCTAGGTCTGGTGTAGTCAGTGTTGCCAATGGTGATGTAATCATTCTGAACTTTTGTTGTGATGTTTTTCCTAGTGAAACTCTTGCCAATTTTCCCCGTGAACTAGCAAGCAGTGTTAGCACTCGGAAACGACTAAGGAACGAACGAACGCTAAGATCACTCTTGCCCCGTGCCTAGCCCGCAGTCTAGCTCCCGTTGCACGAGTTATCTCCGCAAGCTGCGCAGTAGGCGCGAGCGACGCGACGCGGCGGAGTGGGCTTACGCGCAAGTGGGTGTGGGGCTGGTGTACGGCTGTTAAGCTGGCGCTGCTGGCACAGAGCGACAAGCGGCTAGCGCGGGCGACACGCTGGCTGGCACTTGCTGGCACGGGCCTAACGCGGCTGGTGCAGCTATTGCAGACTGGCTAATGGCTGCCGCGGGCGACATCGGCTAGGGCAGCTGGCGCAACTAGTTTGACTGGCTAGGGCGCGACTGGCTGCCACGGACTAGCTGGCGCAGCTGGCTGGTGCGGCGGCGCGCAGGCAGGCGTGCGACCTGTGTAGGCGTCACGTTTGCTAGCACGGCGACATGATGGCTGGTGCGACAGTGTGCTGGCTGGCACTGCAGCGTACTAGTGCGACTGGCTGGCATAAGAGGCTCGCTGGCGCGCTACGTGAGGCAGCTTGCTGGCGTTGTTTGCTGACGCAAGCGGCTAGCGCGCTGTCGGGCGCCGCTGGCTGGCGCACTTGCTAGCACGAGCAGCTAGTGCAGCTGGATGGCGTGCTTGGCGGTGCAAGCTGGTGCATGGCAGTGGGTGGGTGGCGCGCAGGCTAGGGTGGGTGGGTGTGTGGGCTAGGATAGGTGGCGTGCTAGGGGTGCTTTAGGGGCACGACCTGGTGCTTTAGGGGGCACACTAGAGGCGCTCGATGGGGGCGTCCTAGGGGCGCTCGATGGGGGCGCGCTAGGGGCGATCTAAGAGGGGGCGCAATAGGGGCAATCGGGAGAGGGCATTACTGCTGGAGTAGGCTAGTGTTCGCTCTGCATTCCATTCTGGCCTTACATTATTTTTCGGCCACTTTCAGACTTAGTTTCATTTTTGGTTCATGCTAGGTTCAATTTGCAATTAGTTTCTGCATTGAACTCACCTTAGGTTCAGTTGGGGTTTCCCAACTTTATTGTTCAAATGTATCTCGATACGTTCTCTACTTGAACAATTAGCTTACTCTCGTTAATGCTGGCTTCCTCTAGCTCAATCTTAACAATTACTAGGGTAGCTAGGGTAGGCGAAGCGGAATCGGTGAACTAACCTAATATGGTACCATGTCAGTGAAGGAATGAATGAATACAACGAGGGCATATAATTGGATAACTACCAAAACTGTACCCTCTATAGAGTAACCCAACCTATTCTATAATGTGCACATCCAAAGGTGTATGTGTAGATCGACAACTATTATTCGGAATAAAATGTGTACTTTTTTTTAATCTAATGTACTAGGCATCAATAACCCTTTAATAAATATATTTGTGTAGTCAGACTTACAAACATGACGAACATGAATGGCGAGAATCTCTACCAACGTGGTGGAAGTGGTGAACAACAAAATCTTGAAGTTCCACCGTTGTCAGGAAGGACACTTGGCCCCGCTTCAATAGTTGCATTAGCAACTGGAGCAAGAGCGGAGATAGATCTTCCCTGTCCCCCACACTAAGGTGGCTCTGGGTCTATATCTCATGCTGTACCAATAAATCCGGTGATACAACAACTTATCATATGATTGATATCACAACTCTTTGTATCAGCACCAGAAGCACCAACGTCACTGAATATGGAGGCAACAAAGAAGTACATGATCAGTATGTATAGAGTGGAAGGCACGTCCCTAACGACATGGTCGTCAGCGTTGTCATTATTGGACCGGGTACTCAGTGGCGCCAGCCACGTTCTTTGCTTCGTACTCAGTGCAACGCGTTTGGGATGCAACTCTGCAGACCCTTTCTTAGGGTACGTTCCTGGCTAGTGCCAAACTTCCGGTCAAAATTCGTGTTTTCCGAGCCGGGGGCAATTTTTTGCGGGAAGACCCGAAGTGGGGCCAGCTGTGGGGCGAGCTTTGTGTCATCCCGGGAAGACCGGAAGTTTGACACGAGCCAGGAACGCACCCTTACTGAGCAGCAGGCATGGACATATATGGCAGCAAAAGCAACAAAAAAGGTTAAAGCTGTGGTCTACATACAGGATGGTGTTTTCTGGGGGCATTTAGGGTGCATACCAGGGGTTTTTTTATCAGAGTAAATTACTCTGTTTCTCTGAAAATCAGAGTGGTTTTTAGGGGGTCACTCTGACGTGTCTGGTAAGTTTTTTGGAGGATAAGTTTTCTCTGATTTGTCAGGGTTCTGATTTTAGCTACTCTGAGAGACCAGTGTATATTTGTGGCGGATGTACTTTTCTCTGTACAGGGTATAGGCATTTCGACCGACCCTCCCTCCCCCCCCCGCGCCCCCCAATTGGTGGGTTAAGCAGAATATATAATGTCCGTAAGCAATCCTAACGATGACCGCGTAGCACAACGCTTACCGTAGTTTTTTGGTAGGAGTGCAGAAGGCCTGGGTTCAATACTTGAGAGGGCACTCAGAGTTGGAAAAATAGGTACACTGGGTGCCCAGAGTAAATTTTTCAGAAGTGAAGTTTTCTCTGACAAATCAGAGTAACGCTCATAATGAACCCTGAATTTCAGAGTTCCCTAGAAAACAGCTCTGGAAATCCGAGTAGTGAAAATAAAAAAAAAAGCCCTGGTGCATACCCTTTGGCGCCCGATGATTGGGGAACGAAGTGAGCGGAAGCATGAAATACCTGGGCGAGGAATGCAAAGCGTTCTGGCGACGCCAATCAACTTCGTGAGGGGTTGGGTTGGGGGAAAAAATCGCGGACTGGCGGAACAAAGTCTCCCCCACACAACCACACGTGATTTTGAGCAGACGCTGATTTTAGGGCGCGTAACCATTTTGCATTTTTCGTTTTTGACGGACTGTCCGCTCAAATCGAAGCGGACAGTCCTCTTATCGCGGACGGGACCGTCCGATGTGAAATTTTAGAACTTCGGACAGTCCGAAGGCAAGTGTGACACTTTTTTGGGGTTGTAGTTTTTAGCAATCACTGTAGCCTCGTTAGGGGCTCTGTATCTTCGTAATTTAATTCACGAAATTCCCAAGTAGATTTTCGTCGGCCAATCGTAAGAAGTTACTGTACATTGCTTTTCGCCTGCCAATTTCTAGCCAGGACTGGTGGACCGTCCGTTTGGGTTTCGGTCTGTCCACGGTTCACATTGCGGACAGTTGAAAATGTGAAAAAGTGTCACGACAGTCCGTTTTGTTGGCGACGTCGCCAACACGTAAACGAATGTCTTCACGACATCATGCGAAGCTGGTTACATTTCGCCAGCACGGACGGTCCGTAGTTCGAACCGTCGGGTGCAAAATGGTTACGCGCTTACATTCGAAGTGAATTAGCCTAGTTTCCGCCCACATTTTTAGTGCTCACGCTAAACACAAAAGAAAAGCCAGCGCACGCTGAGCACCCACTTTCATGCCTTCTACCCGCGATCCACCTCTCTACTCGCCGCTTTCACCTTTTTCCGTCGAAACCCTAATCCGGCAACACTGGGCGCGCCAACGTTATTAGTATACCATCATTCCTTTCCGCCCTTGCGTTGCAGTGGCTCTCACTTGTCCGCAACCTCTTGCAAATGCTCCTACTAGTCGCCCTGCGACGCAACTCCCGGGCCCCCACGTTCCTGCGCCTTCCGCGTCGAAGCGCATGCGCCTTGCTGCCTCCCCGCAGATGCAAGATCTGCCACAGTGACACGGATGGTGGGGATCTGTGGTAGTCGTCAGGGAGCCACACTGACGCGACGCCCATGCACAACGTCAGGCGCTGTGTAGTTGCATTGCTCCGCACCCGAGTTGTTACATTTTCCCCACCGTCTTGCCAAGCGGTTGTCTATCTGCGGTGGTGTGGCAGATGTCTAGCGGCGTGGAGCCAAGGCTAGGGATCGGAGGGACCCAAGGACTAGGTTTTAGCAGCAGCATCGGCTGGAGCCTGAGCTGACCATGCTGCAGCCCACATCAGCACCGGCTGCAGTATTGCAGCTACTGTAGCTGCAGCCCACATGAGCACATGTGGGGTGCAGTCGGGTCAGCTCACGAGTGGTGCAGTGACCAGTCGCGCCTCCCTTTCCCCCCAGGTCGCGCCTCCCTTTCCCCCCAGGTCGCGCCTCCCTTTCCCCCCAGGTCGCGCCTCCCTTTCCCCCCAGGTCGCGCCTACCTTTCCCCCCAGGTCGCGCCTCCCTTTCCCCCCAGGTTGCGCCTCCGTTTCCCCCCAGGTCGCGCCTCCCATTCCCCAAGGTCGCACGTCTCTTTCCCCCCAGGTCGCGCCTCCCTTTCCCCCCAGGTCGCGCCTCCCTTTCCCCCCAGGTCGCGCCTCCCTTTCCCCCCAGGTCGCGCCTCCCTTTCCCCCCAGGTCGCGCCTCCCTTTCCCCCCAGGTCGCGCCTCCCTTTCCCCCTAGGTCGCGCCTCCCTTTCCCCCCAGGTCGCGCTTCCCTTTCCCCCCAGGTCGCACCTCCCTTTCCCCCCAGGTTGCGCCTCCCTTTTCCCCTAGATCGCACCTCCCTTTCCCCCCAGGTCGCGCCTCTCTTTTCCCCCAGGTCGCACCTCCGTTTCCCCCCAGGTCGCACCTCCCTTTCACCCCAGGTCGCACCTCCCTCCTCCTATCTCCTCCCATCCCTCACCCCCATCTTCCCATCCCCCCCAAACCCTCTCTCAGCTCATTCTATCTCCTCCCTTCCCTCTCCCCTTCTTTCCCTAATGTCTCCCCCTCCTTCCCCCCATTTCCCCCCTCCATGCCCTCATTCCCATCCCACCTTCCTGTCATTTCACCTTTTCCTTCCCCATTTTCCCACTCCTTTCTCCTGGTTTCCCCCCTCCTCCCTTTCGCCACCCGCGCCTGCAGCCTCGTGACCACCACGGAACCGCCAGCTGCACGTTCGACGAGGTGCGCGAGATGCGCCCATTCACGCTACAGTGCATTCCTAGCACACAAGACTTGCACACCTCCCTCATGCTCCCTCACCCTCTGTCCCCCCTGTCCTCCACTCTCCCCCCTTTCATCCTTTCCCCCCCTTGTCCTCCTCCCACCCACATCATCCTCCCCTCTCTCATCCCGTCCTCCCCTCTCTCATCCCGTCCTCCCCTCTGTACGCCCTTCCTCTCCTCCTTCAGCCCGTCCTCCCCTCGCTTCCCTTCCCCCCATTTCTCTTCCCCTCATTTCCCATTCCCCCGTTTCCCTTCCCCCCGTTTCCCTCCCCCACTTCCCGTCCCCCCACTTCCCGTCCTCCCTTTCTCCCGTCCCCCCGTTTCCCTTCCCCCCGTTTCCCCTATGTCCCTTTCCCCCATTTCCCTTCCCCCCATTTCCCATTCCCCCGTTTCCCTTCGCCCCATTTCCTGCAGTAGAAAGAATTTTGGCCCTTGCAACACGTTCCCCTTCTTTTTCCTCTTCTTTTCCCCTTGTTCCCCCCCTTGTGCTATGCAGGCTGTAGCAGGGCAGCAGTTCAACCTTACACGAACTTCAAAGTTATGCAGCCTCGCCAACAACAACGACAGAAGTATTTTCCGCAGAAGCGACAGCATCAAAAACAGCCATCAAACAATATGTACCTCAATTTCTTCATCACTGCCGAACTTAGGGACGCTCTCGTATCGTTATCCTGGGCCTCGACAGTCTCAACCACAACGCCCAGTTGTTGCTCCAACCCAGGTAGCTGTTGCAACTGCTTCAGATGCACGACACATGACTCAGACCACATCAATTTCATCACAACCTTGTAACAAGGTAGCATGGATGGCTAGAAATAATTCTTGCATCCATGGCTCGCCTCCAACATTTATACCAGATAAAGTCATGGAGTTGATTTTAACGTCGCTACAGCTTAATCTCCACTACGTAGTGTCGTTGCCAATGCTGACTATGGTCCCAACGTCTGGTTCTTCGATAGTTGCTACGCACAACATATGTGCACGCTAGATATCGAGAATGTTTTCTTCATCAAGCATAATGAACAACCTAATGGCATCACTATTTTTGTTGGAAATGAGTGGACTCTACATACCCATCGTCAATGAACTCTCATTTTTTGGTCTTTAGAAACTGACACCATTAGATCTCGCACGTTCTTATCGTGCATGGTCTTGGTCAGCCAACTTATCACGACGGGAGTACTGTCAAATGTTGAACATTGATATGATAGGCTATAGTGAGTTGCACTCTAGGGGGTACAGCTTCTAGGGTTGCTCATTTGTACCCCATTCGTTTCTATTCCAATCATTCCGTTGTTCGCTAACTTTGAGATGGTATCAGAGCAAAGGTCTCGGGTTCGAATCCCAGTGTGTGCACTTCGGGCATCCCAGTGCGGGGGGGTGTTAGAGGTCCACTGGTGATCCCCGATTGATCCTAGGGAAGGGTTACAGGCTCGTTGTCCTGGGGGGTTATGGGCGCACTGACCCGCTACTTAACAAGCCCTTTTATCCCAATGGTCTAGTGGTTGGGATTCTGACATGGTATCATGCGTAAGTGTCGATCCTCTCGCCTAGCCTAGCCTAGCTCGCGCCCTAGCGCCCTCCGCGCCCTTGCGCCCTAGCACACTCCGCGCCCTCCGCGCCCTTGCGCCCTAGCACCCTCCGCGCCCTCCGCGCCCTCCGCGCCCTCCGCGCCCTCCGCGCCTTAGCCACCGCGCCCTCCGCGCCATCTCCGCGCCTTAGCGCCCTCCTCCTCCGCGCGTTAGCGCCCTCCGCGCCCCTAGCCTGCGCCCCTAGCCCGTCGCCCAGGCCCACGCCCTAGCCCGTCGCCCAGGCGCCCGCCCTAGCCCGTCGCCCAGGCGCCCGCCCTAGCCCGTCGCCCAGGCGCCCGCCCTAGCCCGTCGCCCAGGCGCCCGCCCTAGCCCGTCGCCCAGGCGCCCGCCCTAGCCCGTCGCCCAGGCGCCCGCCCTAGCACGTCGCCCAGGCCTGCGCCCTAGCCCGTCGCCCAGGCGCCCGTCCTAGCCCGTCGCCCAGGCCTGCGCCCTAGCCCGTCGCCCAGGCGCCCGTCCTAGCCCGTCGCCCAGGCGCCCGTCCTAGCCCGTCGCCCAGGCGCCCTCCCTGGCTCGTCACCCCAGCCCCGCAGGCAGCGCGCCACACGGGTAGCGCGCCCCGCGGGTAGCGCGCCCCGCAGGAGGCGCGCCCCGCGGGTAGCGCGCCCCGCAGGCAGCACACCCTGCAGGCAGCGCGCCCCGGGGTGCTTTAGTGCCAGAAAATAAATAAATAAATTAAACCCTAAAAAAAAAAAAAAAAAAAAAAAAAAAAAAAGGGGTTCACAGTGGGGGCCTGCGACTGTCTCCCGCGTTCCTGCTTGCCGGACGACCTGCACAGTTGCCTACATCCCGCAGCCGTCAGTACTGCAGCCCCTACTGTCGCACGTACTTTCCACTGCCAGTGGCTCTACTAGCGGCAGCCGACAGCCGCACTTACGGTCTCTAGCCCCGGCCGTTCCTACCTCCAGCCAGCCCTAGCTCGCCGCTTCTAGCTCCAGCCGTTCTCGCTCCAGCCGTTCTCGCTCCTCGCTCGTGGCTCAGTTTGCTCCTGTCAGAACATTATAGCTTATGCTGTTGTGTAGGCTATAGTGGGGTATCCCATAGGGGGTACAACCAATTAGGGTTTCATATTTGTACTCACTTCATTTCATAGTTCACTCATTCTTGTTCAAATCTTCTCATGGTATCGAGCAGGTTCCCCCTTGGGAACTGTGCTTAGGGCCCACCACATCGATTTTTTTTTTCCTGCCCGAAGCGCGCTCAGCCCGAGTCGCGCTTCGGGCCCTCACTTCGTCGAGCCGCCCTAGCGGCCCTGCACTGCGGCCCCGCCACCCGTCTCCGCGGCCCCGCCGCCCGTCTTCGCGGCCCCGCCGCCTCTCTCCTAGCGGCCCCGCCGCCCTACCTAGCGGCCCCACCGCCCTACCTCGCGGCCTCGCCGCCCCATTGCGCGGCCCCGCCGCCCTACCTAGCGGCCCCGCCACCCCATCGCGGCCCCGCCGCCCCATCGCGCGGCCCCGCCGCCCTATCTAGCGGCCCCGCCGCCCTACCTAGCGGCCCCGCCGCCCCATCGCGCGGCCCCGCCGCCCCATCGCGCGGCCCCGCCGCCCTTCCTCGCGGCCCCGCCACCCCATCGCGCGGCCCCGCCGCCCCATCGCGCGGCCCCGCCGCCCCATCGCGCGGCCCCGCCGCCCTACCTAGCGGCCCCGCCGCCCTTCCTCGCGGCCCCGCCACCTTACCTGCGGCCCCGCCCTTACCTGCGGCCCCGCCGCCCTCTGCTGCGGCCCCGCCACCTTACCAGCGGCCCCGCCGCCCTTACCTGCGGCCCCGTGCCCTGCAGCAGCACAGCCGAGCCGCCCAGCAGCCGAGCCGCCGAGCCGCCCAGCAGCCGAGCCGCCGAGCCGCCCAGCAGCCGAGCTGCCCAGCAGCCGAGCCGCCCAGCAGCCGAGCCGCCCAGCGGCCGCGCCGCCCAGCAGCCGAGCCGCCCAGCAGCCGAGCCGCCCAGCAGCGGAGCCGTCGAGCCGCCGGGCCGCCCAGCAGCTGAGCCGCCGAGCCGCCGCGCCGCCCTCCTTCAGGGCCGCCCGACCTGCCCAGTCTGGTGAGCACAGCGCCTTTTCACTGCACTGTCCTCACCCCACTGTTTGCGCTGCTAGTCGTCTAGGGTCATGGCTACCCCTAGTGTTCTCGCCTTTGACGCTGAGGGTAGGGCCATTGACTTTGAGGTCTGGGTAGATGACCTGCAGCTGTTCTTACAGTGCGATAGGGCAGACGGCCTCTCTCTCTTTGACCTCACCTCTGGCACCTCCACTGCCCCTGCTGCTGATGCTGACGCCACTGTTCGCTCCCAGTGGGCCACGCGCGACGCTGCTGCACGTCTTGCTGTGCGTCGCCACCTCCCTACCTCCGAGCGTGCGCACTTTAGTCAGTACAAGAGTGCTCAGACCTTGTACGACGCTGTAGTTGCGCGCTACTCCTCCCCTGCCACTGCTGCACTGAGCCGTCTCATGCTACCGTACCTCTTTCCTGATCTTACTGCCTTTCCCACAGTCACTGACCTCATTACGCACCTCCGCACTAGTGACACTCGCTACCGCGCTGCACTCCCTCCTGACTTCTGCGCCAGGAACCCCCCCCCCATGTACATCACTCTTTACTACATAGTCACTCGCCTTCCTGACTCCCTTCGCGTAGTCAGGGACCACTTTCTCTCTGTCTGTCCCACCACTCTCACTGTTGACCTCCTCGAGAAGTCCCTCCTAGCGGCCGAGAAGAGCATAGTCGCTGTAGGGGCCTCTCGTGGTGACCCGCGCACCCCCATCTTTGTGGGGTGTTCCCCCTCCCCCCTTCTGCCCTCTGTTGCCTCTGCTGCTGCGGCCGACCTCCTTGTTCTTGAGTCGGTCGGTGCGGCGTCTGCCACTAGCGGGAGACGCCGCTCTGGCAAGGGCAAGGGGGGCAAGGGCGCTGGAGGAGCGAGCGGGGGCGGTGGAGGTGGAGGTGGCGGCAGTTGGGGGAGTGGGGGTGGCGGTGGGAGTGGAGGTGGGGGTGGAGGGGTCGGTGGCGGCAGTGGAGGTGGAGGTGGCGGCGGCGGTGGCGGTGGGAGCGGAGGTGGCGGAGGTGGCGGAGGTGGAGGCGGCGGCGGAGGCGGAGGCGGCGGCAGTAGCGGAGGCGGCGGAGGCGTCGGAGGCGGCGGGGGTGGCGGTGGTGCTGGTCGCGGGTCTTCGCAGAGGAGTGGCTCCGGTGGTGGCTCGCGCCAGCAGCAGCAGCGTGGTCGTGACACCCTGTCCCCTCAGCAGCTTCGTGAGTGGTACACTGCGCGTCAGCGGGGTGGGGGTTTTGGTCCGTGCTCCTACGTTTTGCGCACTGGCGACCGTGCGGGTGAGCAGTGTGGGGATGCCCACCCCACCCAGCGCTGCTTTGGCCGCCTGACGGACGCGTGGCGTCACCAGTTCCCGGAGGCCTCCGAGATCCCTCGCTGGGGCGAGCTGTCTAGGGCGGGTGTTGCCATCTATGATCTTGACTTTGATGCTATTCTCTCTGCCATGTATGCTGTGTCTATTAGTGATGAGGGTGACTGTTACCGGTGTTTCCCGCCCGATCCGGGCATTGAGACTGCTGCTCTAGGTCCTGGTGAGGCTGCTGCCCTAGGTGCTTGCGACGCTGCTGCTCTAGGTGCTCGTGTGTCTGCGTCCTCAGGTACTGGTGAGTCTGCGCTCTCAGGTACTGCGTCGGCTTCGGCCTCCCTCACCTTCACCCTTGACTCTGGGGCGTCTCGCTCCTTCTTTCGGGACCGCACCACACTCACACCGCTGAGTCGACCGGTTGCAGTGTCTCTGGCTGACCCCTCTAGGGGTCCTGTCCTGTCTCGCTTCTCCACAGTCCTCCCGTGTCCGGCGGCTCCCTCTGGCACCCTGTCTGGTCTCTACCTCCCCTCGTTCTCTACGAACCTGGCGAGTGGTGCTGACCTACAGGATGCGGGG